GCAAAAACATYACAACACTTAATAAATGGCTGCATCTGTGAACTACATTTGTCCTCCAAGCTGAAATAATCTATACAAAACCTTTCAACTCTCTCCTTATTTTAACTCCCCATAAAAATGCTTTGTGGCTCAAAGAATTTTGTATAGGATGCAAGTTGGAATATATTTTTATTGATTCAGGCYCACAGCAAGTGAGAAAATAAGGATGAGATTAGAAATTATATCTTCAGATCATCATTTAAGAAAAAAGAGAGTAGTTCGTACACATGAAACATAGTCTAATATCCTTACACTGGAAAAATCTGGTATCAGATGTGGTATAGGTGTATAGAAGTACCTATCATAAAGCAAACCTGTTCAAAATAATATTAATACCAAAAATAATTACTGAAATTAATTAAGTGTGAAAGTAATGTAATAGATTAAATATGTAAGGTGCTTTGAAACTACTTTTTTTTAATTGACAAGAAATATCTATATATATCAATATGAAGGAACATTCTTATTCTGCCCTATGTCAGTGATTCCCAAAAGCTCTTTATATTCTCATTTTATCTTTGAAAGATGCAGTTCCTGCAAAAAGCAAAAGAGATTGCAGTTACTCATTTCATCACCTGTAGATTTCAGACTCAGTAGGCCAAGTTACAGAAGAATTAAACCAGGAGTTTTAAAAACAGCTTCAAAACCTAAAATACTGGAGAATAATTACCAAAATAATTAGAAAAGTGAAGAAAAATGCTTTTCAAAGTTTGCATGAAAAATAATGGAAATATTATTTTATATGTAGCTACTCCAGAGAGAAAAATACAGACCACAATGCATATCACACACTCAGAACATACAGCATTTCTTTTCTGATTGATCACAATTAATTACAATTATCTACTGTTACAACTTTAGACAACTTTTGAAGCACATTAGCTAAGAGAAGATCTGAAGTTCAGAGAGATAGCAGATCAAAGTTAACTATGATGAGCCATCTAGTTTTGGAAGGATTTCAAGGTGTTATCTAGATAAGATGGAAAAGTCAGTACAACTATTTGAGCCTTCACCAAATTCTTTCTTCTGACTACATGATTCATAACCTCAGCAGATTTTAATTCTCTGTACAATTCATGAAGCTCTTCATTTCCTAATATTATACATTTCTCATTTTGTCACACTGTCAAAGGCCCTACATATTTACTTWAATAAATATAAGATTATCTTTTGTGAGGTGACCAGTCTTCTGTAAATTTGGGAGCATTCTGTAAATTAATCCCAATGAAAGACCRTGGATACATCAGCAACTGCAGGTAATATTTAATTGTACTAAAAAGGACAGAATATCAACTGAGAAGTGACCCTCACTTGTTCAATTTATACTTCATTWAAAAAATATGGAACATTATTCCTTTTCTCTCTTTTATTTTCCTTCTGCATATCATCCCTACATTTCATCTTAGTCCCTAAATACTTCCATAAAGCAAGTTCATTCTAAGTGATGAAGCAATGTATTCTGCATGTGTTTTTAAACTTCATATCAGTGATATAAAATATTTTCAAGGGCTCCTTAACCTGACCCCTACAAAAATATACAGTCCTGAAACATCATGTGAATTCTCGGTATACAGTTTAATACCAATATTATTTGCACACATAAACAAAGCATGCAGAACCARTCACTTTAGAAATCAAGATTTCCACCTTTAAATCTCTATTTCTGTATTATCCAGCACATTACAGAAAAAGGAAAATTTTCGAGTAAAAATCATGCATTAAATCGTAGCATTGTGTGTCCTAGATATACCTAATAATTGCAGATCTCTATACTTAAAGAGCATTAAATAGCACATAATTGTTTGTGTGATCACTTATACTTTTTTGTAGGCAGGAAGGAAACTTAGTTATTATACTCAGATTATTAAATCAATCAGAAAGCTTAAAAAGAAGAATTTAGTACTAAGGAAAAAAAAAAAAANAAAAAAAAAAAAAGAAACAGAGAGAGAAGGGGGAGGAAGCACTTAATAGTCTCGTGATTTTATTTTTTCTGCTTAAAGCTAGATCCTAACAGGAAATTCAAACTTCACAAACTTCTCAAATGAAGAAGCATCCTTTGTAATAGCTGAATATCAAGAGAGACTAAGAGAGCTGTGACTGTTCTGTTTGGAAAAGACATGGGGGTATCTTATTAATGAGTATGAAAACCTGGTAAGGACAGAGATGGGGCAAGACTCAAGTGTGGCCCAAAAACCACAAATTGAAATACAGGAAATTCCATCGAAAAGTTGAAAAAATCCAACATTATTTTGAGWGCAGTCAAACACTGGAACAAGTTGCAAACAGACATCATGGTGACTCTGTCCTCAAAGACACAGAATCTCAAGTCTACCCAGCCCTGAACAGCCTGCTCTGCCTGATCTTACTTTGACCAGAGCAGGCTGGACTAGGTGACYTCCAGTGGTGCCTGACAAACTCAACTATTCAGTGGTTTTCTGTACATACAGCAAAAACACAGAATAAAATTTTACTATCAGCAAGATTTTTCTTATATCAACTAATGTGGCAGCATATAACAATGTCACCTACATCATCTATTGCAGTTATTGCAGTTTTTTCTTGGTAGGGCTCTTACAGTAGTTTGGATACTTATGTATAAAGTAGATCCACAGATGTTCATTGTTTTGAACTCGTAAGATCAGACTGTAAATCTATTTTTATACTTGCCTGTTTATAAAATGCTGGAATGACTGTCATGTAGCACTGCTGTCATGATGCTCTTTATCTTTGCTGAACCTTTGCATACCCTGTGGAACACCAGACYCCAGAGCGTGCTTCTATCAGTGTTACTGTTTGCATTTTTCGTGCTGTTTGAGACTCAACACCACCACAATGGGAAAATGTCATACCACTCCCTCTGTTGTGGTAAGCCATGTAATGTGAAACCAGTTCAAACTTAACAGCAATTGCAYTTAAACCTTTCTTCTTTTGAAAGAGACTCACAAAGCATTACCGTCCTAAAAGGATTTGATGAATGATAATCTAACATGTGCCTACTTTCTTTAATTTTGATTTATTTTCTCTTATTTTTTTAATCATCATTTTAAAAAGATCTGCATCTGTTTTTGTGGGCTGGTACTCTAAGAAATTGGATCTCTGGTTTTAGTACCATATATTTTTATTGTTAACTTGTTATGACCAGCTTTAAAGGACTAGAGAGGAATTGGATACTTTTAGGCATTAGTTGTGGTTTTAAACTACTTTCTTAAAATAAAATTCAAGAGGTGATCTGCTCTTAGATATTAACTGTAACACGAAACCCCAAATGATACTGTTGACAAGGTTTCTTTTCCTGTCTCCCTCTTTTAGGCCTGCTTATTTGTCTCTGACTTCTTTMATCTCCTTTCTACTTTTCACATACATTTTTTTTCTTTGATATTTTCTTGCCTTACTTCCCCCAAATAATTTCCCTTTGCTTCTGCAATTTTTGATCTCTCCCTCATGAACATGAATGTTTCTGCCCTATAAAAACTTTCATTCTCTCCCCACAGAGATTCCACCTATCATTCTAATGTTGCAACATTAGAATCTTTATGATCTCCATTTTCTATATTAGATTTTTTCCTGTAAATTGTACTGTATAAAGTATTTTAATCCAAACTCTTTTTTTATTTTTTTTGCTGGTCACACCTGCCCAGATTACCACAGTGAGTCCTACCTGCGTGATGTTTTCCCATACTCCCCTACACTCTCATCCCTCCTTCTCTYTCCTTATTATATACCTCTCTCCTACCAATCTTTGTTGTCTGAGCTCCCTTCATTTTGTCACTCCTCTTCACCTACAGTCTTTTAAAGAACTGCAAATTTCAAATAAAATATCTCCATCTATGTGTCCATCTCACCATGTAAAGCAGTTCYTGAGCCTAACGCCAAAGTAGAGGTCCACTTTTGTCCACTGAGCTAAGCTTTCCCCACTCTTCTCCTTACACCAGACAAGATACTCGCATTCAAACAGTTTCTGGTATTTGGTGTTTCCTCAACTGAGCATTTCTTTTAACAATGTTACTCATCCATGACCAAAACCATGCCAAGAACCACGCTCATACTCAGAGAAACGTGGGATCATGGTCATGTTCTCAAAAATCCACCCATCTATCCGGTCCACAAGGCCAAGTAATCTTCCCTTTTGTTTGATCTGTCCAGTTAATTATCTTTCCTTTGCCTTAGAGAAAATCAGTGTTTGACACTGAGCCGTGAAAATAAGCGGGAAACAACTGGGGAAGAAGCAGAAGCTCAGGTGGGCTTTGCTGTAATTTGTCAGGGTTTAACTGGTGTGTAACACAAAGACAGAGAACGTGGCACCACCAACAGCTTCACTATTGGGYGGCCCCATCTTTGGGTGACAGGTCATCTCCTCCCCACAACACAGCCTTTCTTAACTTAACCATGTCTAAGAGCAAGTCACTGCTAGGAGATGGTATAGGAACTTCCAAAAGAAAATAGCAGTACAAAAAACAGATTGTTGCAGGACTTTACATTAGTATAAGGCCTCAGGAGACATATCAAAAATAGAATTTCAGGATGAAAAATTAAGAAAGACATGTGTGCAGCATGGAGTTATTTTAACTAACTCAGTTTCTTCAGGCAACTATATTCATGATGACATTATCTAATGAAGCAAAGCAGCAAAAAAAAAGCAGAAGATATCTGATCTATTAAAAATGAATAGGGAGATTATTGTATAATGATAGGTAATTCATGCTTTGAAAGGTTTCTGTTTATAAAGAAAAAGAACAAGGGGAAAAACCATAAAGGATTATTATTTGTTCAGTTATTTGGAAGTACTAAACAGCCACAATTTCCGTCACATACAACATTGGTTTGTGTACCAGTAATGTGACATTAAGGGAACTATTGTGATATCTGTGTGCTGCTTTCCTAGACTGTTAATCTATTAACCAGTGGATATAAGCCACGAATTCAAACGMTTGCCCGTGTGAAGATGTTTCTAGCRATCCTACCTGTTGGCGGGATGATTCCAGGAGACATTAGGCCTGGGACAGAGTGTGGCATGATATGAGAATTCTCTGGGGAGGTGACACTTTGAGTCCTCTTAGGAGGCCTTCCAGGTCTAGAACTGAAACAAACAAACAAAAAAATTTTTACAATTAAGCTGTTGTCTTACACATCATTTCAAAGTTGTTTCAAGTGGTAACATGGACTGTAAATAAATTTGTTTCAAGGACGGTTGCTTTTGCAGTTAGATGTAATAGACTTCCATCACTAATTAGATTACATGCTGAATTCATTTTCCTCATTGAAGATCAGCCGCTCTTGATGCATAATTCATAGCCTGCACCTCGTTACCTGCTTCTTCATATTAATATCTATACACAGTTTGAATTGCCTCGTTTGCATATGCTAAAGTTCTGCATGCAGCCTTCAGCACGAAAATTATGCACTAACTTGTAATAATTATTACAGTCAGCCTGCTATTGATTTATGAGACTTTTAAAAACCAAATATGTGTAGTACTTGTAATGAATGATATTTTAAGGTTCTTCAGGAAATTAAAAGGCAATGGCTGCCTAAGGAAATGTTCTGCTTGTTTGATTTAATACTACAGTTAGCTGGGAGGTGGAATGAAAGAGTGATTCAGACCTATAGCACATTTTTCGATGATATGTTTTATTACTTCGCACTGCTAGCCTGATATCTAGATGATAAATGACAATACATATCTAATGTGTGAAAAGGTCTTGCAATTTCTTTATTTTTTGTCATTTAAAAGATAAGTCAAGTTATCATTTAACCCTTATTCTATTTAAAGTGAAAATCTCACTAAGACACCTTACTTTAAATATACTACTTTATGTCAGGGAGGACTCAGAATTATTTGTAAGATATTGTTGAGCAACCGCCACCACAGCAGCTTACGTCTGTCCAGCACGGAAAAATAAAGGGCTYCGGGTTTAAGCACTCCTTGTCTGTTAAATGCTCACATACACAACTTTTCATCTCCTGGACTGCCTAAGTAGCATACAAATTAGATAGAGATGACAATGAAAATACTTATTGCCCACTTACATACAAATATGTACCTGCTCATACAATGCATATCCAAAGGCTCATATTCCTAGGTACAGATCATAGTGCTGGTACTACTGCAACATCCTGTAACTGCTCATTTAGGGGACATAATAATAATGGAAYAATTCCACAGAATAAGGTGATGTGCTGCTCTAAAAAAGCAGTGTTAACCAATGCTCTGCCAAACATTTGAAGTTCTTCATTTGTTTCAGAACAAGAAAGAAAAGAAGGGTGTGTGTGTAAAGTTTTGCTCCTTAGGTTCTCATACTAACAAAACTCTAATCAGGGATAATGGCATTTCTAGCTACGCTGGGAATGCACAATGAGGCAGATAATAAAATACCTCTGTACCTCTGTTTTCTGTTCATACTATCTTCCATTGGGTTTCACAATACCCTTCTTTTTCCTGGTTTTTTTTTGTTTTTTTTTTTTTTTTTTTGGCACCTTCTACAACCTAACTTTAATAAACCAAAAACAATCAAAGTACAGAGCATTTTCTTGAAGTTTAATGACTCAAGGCATTGAGTCATTAACCTTAACTGATCATTAATTCCCAACTTAATGTCCTGAGCTGAGGTCATTATTAAAATTATCAGCTTGGTAATTTCTTTGATTGGTTTGCAATTTTTTATTTTCTTTATTATAAACAAAATTGTCATATGTTCAAAACTACAAGAAAAAGAGTTGTAGAAAAAGAATATTGTCTTATTCCGGCTCACAAAACCAAATTAAGTTTCTTCGGTTTTTCTTTGATATTTCCTTTGTGATTTACAATAAAAATAAACATACCATGAATACACATAAAACTGAACAAAACATTATAGACAAAAATGATCTGATTTAAATGGAGTGTTTCTAATATATTCACCCACCAAAAAATGCCACTATGTAGGAAAACTTTAATGGTTTAATTTAAGTATCTATGATGAAATACTGTTCTCAAATCACTATTGTGCTATGACTACTGAAGGGTCTGACAACAGCATAAAACACAAGCAGGGTAATGCACAATGTACCAATGACTTCCAGGTCTTTTAAAAAAAAAAAACAAAAAAAACAAGTTCACACCTGCAAAGACTCTCTTTGATGTTTATTATCAAGTACAGCCATGGTGAAGCCTGAATGTTTTTGTCCTTGATTTTGAGGAATAAAACCACCCCTCTTCAAAGCCTAAGGGGAGACAGTCAGGGACCACATCTCTAAATAGAGGTCAGCARCAAATGATAGGTGAGTGATACTGAAATACCCAAGGCAGAACTCTTGCTTTGGTCACCTCTTACAATCAAGTTGCTTGTGCTACTGTATACAAAGGGGGGTCCCACTCAAAGCCATAAATGAGTTCAGCTACCCAACTTTATTCCATGATTTACCCCAAACTTTACCAAATAGATGTTTTCATAAAGTCCTAAACTCTTAATTCCAGTTCTGCTAACAATATTGYACCAGGAGATGGTTGAGCATTGGAATAGTCTCCCTGGGGAAGTGGTCACAYCACCARCCTGACAGAGTTCAGTAAGAGTTTGGACAATGCTCTCAGGCACATGGTGTGACTCTGAGGGTGTCCTGTGCAGGGYCAGGAGCTGGACTTTATGATCCTTATGGAGCCCTTCCAACTCAGTATATTCTATGATTCTATTCAAGTGAAATTTCTGAGAAGGAAACCTCTTAAATCCTGACAGAATTTTTAAATGACACTAACTCCAATCTACTATGAAAAGACCTTTATCTATTTAAGATTTTTTTTTTTTCTTATAACAAGGCAAAAAAAACACTGTAAAACACGTTAATAATTATTTCTTAAGGCCTGGAAGATCTGATTTAGAGGCACGGTAAACTATACAGTACACAATTAAAATGAATAAATCTAATTGTCCTTWATAACTGATTATGTACCAATACTTGACTTAATTTGTTAGTTGCCATTTCTTATTCATTTGTTTCATTAATGAAATTGCTAACTTGAAATACTACCATTTTGTGAGACTTTCAAACTAKAAGAATTGGAAGAATTTTGTATGAATCCTTACCAAAGTTGTGGGGAAAATGGCATGAAAAAAATACTTTAAAAAATAATTGCTTTGACTAGGATTGAAAACTTGCATGTTGTTTTGTAGTTCATTATCATTTTTATGGCTGTATGATAAACTCTTTAAAAAAAAAAAACATCAAAAACATAGCAAATTAGTTTAACTATCCTAAACAGGATKATAAAAATAGCTTAATAAATCATTTTGTTGGTATTTTTCATAAACTTGAGTACAGTAAAGACCTACTTATTTYTAGATTAGGACATGTTCATTTTCATTCCAAGATAAGAAACCTTCAAAATACTCGTATTCTTATTTTGCATCAAAATCAGTAGATTTGTCTTTCGTATGAAAACAAAATATAATTTAAATAGGTATGAGTTGATTCATTATGTAAAAGATTCATTTAAATGCTGGAGCAAYGTAAGCTGTTCTAGACGATGACATTGTGATACAAAAATCATCATTTTAAAGTGGATGATAATACTATTTTTACTCAAGTTTAGATTTTTTTATGTAAGTTTTCATAGACATATAAAAGACATGGTAAGATTTTGTATTTTATTTGAACACAATTATTGGAAGAACTACACTTTTTTTTTTTTTTTTCTGAAAGGATATTTGAATTCTCACAGAAATGCTAACTATCTCAAAGGGTAAACCACTCAAAGGTGACCTATTTTGATTTTGAAGAAGTCTTGATTTTTTAGAGCTAAGATAAACAGTCTGAATTGTTAAAACCCCAAAAGCCAAAGTAAGTCTTGTGAATACCAAGATTCATAGCACAGATAAGTCAAGGGGTGTTTTGGGACTCCACAAGAAGACGCTGGAAGAAACAGCGCTACATCTGGAAGTCATAGCTGATCTTCCTGTCTTCTGTTTTCTTTGAAGAGTAGAATAGACAAAGAAGAAATTAGACAATTCAACAAAGAKTCAAGGAAGACACAGTGATTAACTGTTTTAAAGACCTGGAGAGAAGTCTGTAGGGAAGTTAACAGTTACTTGCTTACTCACTAGAAAAGATATCCAAGAGATACATTGTCACTCTGCTTTTAAAAATATGAACAAGTTAGATATTTTCTGCTCTAAAACTGAAACTTAAACATTTCATATTTGAGATAACATATGTTGCAGAAGAAGATGAAAACTTTCTACAAGACTACATATTCCTAACTTAATAGTCAAGTTTTTTTAAATGAAGCACCTAATTGTATTTATTCCCATGAAAACCTATCTGCCTTCTACAGGTTCATGTCAGCTTGTGACAAAATTTTCAGACTTTTTTCAAGCCTTAAAAGACATTCCCACAGAAAACTGAACTTTATTTTTGTAGAAATTGTCATGATTTACAGTTACAATATGCCATTATGTGAATGGGGAACTCAAGGAGCAGATTAGCAAATCTCGAAGGTCTCAATTTTTTTTTTTTTTCACTTACATCAATTAGATAACCAGAACACTTTCCAGAATGACTGAAAATAAATCCATCAATTCTTGGCCAGATTTGTATTTCATCCCTTCAATTTCAAAAATACATCTAGGAATATTATGGCTGTAGCATTAGCATCTTTGAAGAGAAAGGGTATATATGTCTACTGTGATTGGCATGAGAATCAATTGAGAAGCAATACATTTGTGGCTGAGGATAGAGTTATTTTTTGGTCTTTCGATCAACATGTATTAGTCTTACATCCTTCCTGTGTTACCAAACGTAGAAAGCAACAGATGGCTGAATTAAAGAATAAAAAATCGAAAAATCAGTGTTCCTTATCAGTGAAAATGTTGTGCTTTGATAATATTTCAAAAGTTTTACATTATTTCAGTTGTRTTACCAAATATGAGCTTGATCCTAGCAACTTTTGGATAGGCTAAACAATTAAAAGCAGCAGAAAACCTGGTCCTGTACTATCACATGGAAAGAGACAACAGGACAATAGWATGGGCTTACCTGCTTGACTTCAAAAGTAAACAGGCTGCATTCAGCTGTTATTGCTATCTACCAGAAGACCRACATGCCTTT